GTAACAGAAACCAGCAACAGCAGCAGCAGCAGCCGCAGCCACAAGGTTCGCAACAGCCGCGGGCCCAGACCGGTGCCGCTTCTGCAGAGAGCGCTTCGAATCAGCAGGGTGGTGTGCCCCCCAGTTATGCAGAGGTTGTTGCTGGTGACCACAAGGTTCAGAGCCAAGATTAAGACGCGACCTCTTTCAGAGACGGGAATTCAAGAGTATGGGCGTGGAAGGAGACTAGTAATTGGTGTTGTAGCTTGACAATCGTTGCCATGAGCTAGTCTGCGATTTGAAATAGTGCCGGCACTTTTGGGAGCTCATTGGGAGTCTTATAGAACCATTCGCTTTAACTGGTTATGGAGTACTGGGCCTGATCATATCTGTATATTTACTGTTTTAATAGCGTACCAACCGTTTTCTGCTTATTTATCAGGGACGCTGGTGAAATTTTACCCGAACCTCCTTTCCCCTTTCCCGAAAAGCCTCAAAATGGCTACTCTGAGCCGTCGTCTGCGATCTCCACAACCTGCTTTCTTTACTCGGTAGACTGCCCTTCTTCTGCGCCTGTATCATGCACTGACGGCGCTGGTCGATCGTCATCACGAGGTTGTTTGTAATGCCTCATCATTTGCTGAGGCAAAAACGTGTAGAAAGATGGCACAATCCGGTGTATAGTCTTGATAAACCGGATCCCGGTATTCAACTCAACGAGGGTGATGTCCATCTTCATCTTGGGCATAACATGTGTGAGCAGCGACCTTTCGAGGTAGACCCATATATTGGCGTCCTGGGGCGAGATATGCATGCTTGGTGTCTCCCACTCATCCTCGATGATTGCAGGTTTGAAGAAGACTTTGCCCACGGGTGAAACCCCGCAGTCGCTACCTTCAATTAGAAGAGAAGCAAACTTGTCCAAAGTAAGTGAGCAGGGTCCTTCAACACTAGTAACTTCTAGGGTGTAGGTGCACTCTTTGGACGCCTCAACGCGGTCTTGATGGAACTCATCCAGGGTGAAATCCTCGTCGCACAATGCGCAGACAGCAAGAAACACCGTCTTGGGATCATACGAAGATGGCTTGGAGAATGAAAGAAACGACCAATCCCCGACGGCCACCGAGGAGAACAACTCCGTAGCGGCCAGATTGAAGTACCCAGGCAATTCAGCTGTTAGTTGATTCAGAGCCGGCCACTCTTGCCGCGCTTGATTGCAAACTTGCAAAGCGGACTGAATGTTGTCTTTGTACTCGGGACAGACTTCGTGTAGGAGGACGTATCGCAGAAAGTTCTCCACGAGGCCAATAAGAGATTCAGTCTTCTTTGGCTCGAAGCCAGTTAATTGGCCTAGCGATGTAGAAAATAGGCCAGCTGCCACACCAGCAAAGTCTACAGACCAGTGCTCGTCGTCCCCATTATAGAACCGATCGTCAGCTCCGCAGGCGCCATTCACCGTGTCGGTAACTGTTGCCTCGCGGCGTTGTGCAGGCGTGAGGTCTTTCAAGTCACTGGTATCGAGTCCAGAGAAAGCATTACCGCTGGTGTCAATACCGCCAAGGAAGAGATATTCGTCGAAATAGCGAATTTGGTCTCCCTGCATGCGTCGCCGCGCCCGGAAACGCCGAATACAGGACTGAATCCGTCTATTTTGTCGTTGTTAATATCATGAGAACCACAATGTGAATGGAGGGACGTACTCTTCGAAAGGAAGACAACTAAAGAAATATCCACGAGCGTTAGCAAAGAAAAATCCAGATAACTCTATTGGAATTCTGAACCCATACGTACTCGGCGTATATTTCGAGTTTTTCTTCAGCCGCTTCGTCTGGAGTCATTGGCGGATCGGCAAAGTACTCTGACGGACGGTTAATCATCTACCAGACGAAGCGAGAAGAAGCCATTAGCCTATAATGTACCTTCAAAACCTGTTCCATGATTTCGTGGTAATGCAGTTGGACCTCGGTGGGCGGTAGACTTGTTGCCCCTGGACCTCCCCTTCTTCTTCTTCTTCACTGACGCCGCTTGGTGACCCGGGTTCATCGAAGTTGTGTCGTCTTGATCGTGAATCTGCTGACTGTCGGAATCCCCTCTATTATAGTGACTATCTGCTTGGTCAGTGATGCCACCGGCATCACTGATCAGAGGCCCTTCATCAACCTGAGGCGACATGTTGTCAAGAAATCTCGGGACCTTTTGGGCAACAATCACCCATGCAAGATCAAGATGAAGAGGAAGTGAATTAGCACGTCAGAACATTCAAAGACCGACAAAACGATTGCCAGCTGTTGCCGGACCGTTCCAACTAGCGGCAAGAGGACTCAACCAGAGGGCAAAGCTGCGCACAAGGCATCCACTCGGGTATGTGTAAACGACACTCAACGCACATTTCACCCCCTCCATTGTGACATTCCCAAGCACTTCATTACAAGAATTAATGAGCTTGACTCAGGCAAGGTTTCTGACTTTACTAATCATCACGATGAGAAAGTCCCAAGTAGAAAGAAGACGAGCAGCACAGCCATCTACAGGCGTCCTGTAGGTGCCCTGGTCTGTCAGCACAACTTGACGACGTCGAAGCAACCACCACACCTATCCAAGCCCTGTTCTATGCATATGGTCACAAGCTCTCAAGTTCAAATTGAATGTTACCGAAATTTGCGCGCCGCATCTTTGACGCTTTGGCCAACCGAGTAGTCGCGGTCGCACCACATTGTCCCACGTTGTGCGTGCCTTTTGCTCGCCCAATGCCCAATGTGCACTGCACACGCGTTCGTCGGTGCACAAAGATGATGTACAGAAGCTGTGTAAGGGTTTACATGCTAGCTTGACAATGAGAGCACGGACGATGACCTGCACCGGCTGATGTCGTGACTCTGGTGGCTGAGATGGTTGGCCGAAGGGTGGTAGGCGAGCTTGTCAAATATCTCGCAAGGAGAGTGATGGTGGCATGGTGTTTGAGGGCTGGGTTTGTCGTTCGCCTGCCTGCCTGCCTACCTACCAACCGGTTGTTTTACAGATGTTTGCTCTCTGATTTGGACTGTTTGTGCGGAACAGGGTCAGACCAGGGAGTCCGCCTTTTGTCAGATCGCATACGAAGTTGACATAATATGACGAAGCCTGAGTAGTCGCATCGGCCACGTTGAACTCGACCTGAAGTAGAAGAATTGCGACGGGACACGCATCGCGAGCACAAGCCCGCATCAGGGACTCACAGCGTTGGGTGTGCACAAAGAGCTGCGCTGCGACGCCCAGCTGCCTCAAGATGGTTGCAGGCGCCTCTTTCCATGCAGCAGCAATGAATGCCACATGTATGAGCAAGGGCCAGGCATCGGCTTGCTGTCGTTGCGCCAGGCAGTTTGACCGTGCCCAGCCTTGACAAGAGACACGCGACATATGAACAGATACAAAACAGAGACCAGTGACCCCCACAATCAAGTCTGCCTCGCAGCAATCACACCGTGGTGAGTGGCACTGGCACCAACTCAGCCTCCATCACACAGTCATGGTACGCAGTCTGGAAGCTGGCAGGGATCAAGTGATTGGACACCACGGACGGTGTCGGCGTGTGGCTCGGCTGACTGCGAATGCCAATGCTGAGCGCCCCAAGATGGACAGCACAAGAACTCCTCACGTTTGTCCTGGCGAGGGGAAGCGCGGTCGACTGCAGGCCAACCCGAGTCCGCTCGCAGGTCCGTATGCTACATACTCGGATTAGCACAAGAGAGGATGAAGCTGTTTGATGGCCCACGACGCCTGCTAGGCTGTGCGAAAGGCTGGTGCTTGGCCAATGGTTGGCTCAGCGCATTGTGCTGGTGCAGTCAAACATTGGACCCAGCGCCTTGGGCGACTGGAATGAGGACATCTGGAGCCATGGTAATCTGCATCTGATGCCCACGGCCAGCATGGGTCTTCACAACCTCTGCTGCCCGCAAACATTCAAATGCGGGCACCTCGAAGGATCAGTGACGTCGGCAAAGAATCCCCGCGCGCCCTGGCTGATCGAATCAGCACCAGCCCGTGCCGCCGCTAAGCCCTGTTCGGCTAGTGCTTTCCACCCTGGGGCTGTTTGTCGCTTGGAGGTCCACTTTGCCGGAACCTCTGGATGTTTATGGATGTACTACAGAGTAGACTGTGAATATTTGCATGGTCTTTCTGCCATGTTGTGCCACCATTGTCTGTAGAAAGTGCATGGTTACTGTGAAAATTCGTCCACTGCAGCGCGTGCAGCAGCAAAGTTGGAGTGGAATAGAACGTGAAGTCATGTCGGACGTAGTCCGGATGCTCTGGACCTGCGTAATACTACGTAATGACTGCATGTGTGAAATCTGGTACCTCAAGCGGCCCACAGCCCTCTGACCTGCGGCCACGGTCAGCGTTGGCAGCCCCTGTTTCCCCTGTGTCATGTCTCTAGACCTGCACTGGCATCTGGCACTTGGCACTTGGCACTTGGACCATTCGCGCCAGGCTGTCTCGCACTGCCTGAGTCGAAGCCTAAGGGCTTGTGGCTGCGTCTTGCCTTGTCCTAGTCCTGTACAGATTCCTTTTTTATTTTCACTTCTTCCACTTGGCGACTCTCGCAGGATGCACTGAACAGCGCAGGCACTAATGGCGTTCCTCTCTGCCTGGCGACATAACTCCCTACCTCGACATATAAAGACCTCGATTCTGGAACGCCATTTCCCTCGGTCCCTGCCAAGTCATCGCCTTCGTTCGAGATACCGAGTACGCAACAACACCATCCACCTCTCGAACCAGCAGTGTCAAGCACCACCCTCTTGACTTCAAACTACACTTGCGAGTGCTTTACCCACCCGTGAGACGACTTTGCCACCTTGGCAGACCTCCCTCTGAACCTTCCGTCTCGCCCACGCCTGTGCGCGCTGCATCTTTCCAGTAGCGCAATATACAAGTCAACCACGGCATAACTGTGTCGTATCGTCTCGCCGAGATCATACTCATACCCCTACGATAGGGTTGTCTGCCTCTACCCTCTGGGCTTCGCGGCTATTATATCAAAGATGCAGCCAGCCAGAGATGTCCCCCGCTTTGACCAACTTCAAGACTATCCCCATGCTGTGGCTGGACAGTAAGTAATTTCCATGTCTTTCACCCTTGATCCCCGTAGCTTTACATGTGGTGGCATTGCAATCCAATTTGCGACCTTCGACCTTAGGTGCGTTGCTGACCTCGCCTTCTCTCAGTGCTGGGACCTTGTGCGACTCCGACGGCCAAGTTTTTGTCAAGCCCTGCACTCAGGCTGAAATCGACTTTTATGAATTGACCAAGTCGAAGTATCCCGATTTTGCCGATCTTATGCCTTTGCATATCGGCAATCTAGTGTTAAGTGGCCCCGGCGAGATGGACATTGGAGACATCGGGGACAGCTTACAAACGGATCCCGAACAAGTCCTTGCAACAATCCAAGAGCAAGTCGCCAATGCCGCCCGAGAATGCCAAACCGAGGATACCATAACGTGGGTGCCTTCTCAAGGAAAGAAGATTCAGACAAACATGTCAGTCGTGCTTGAGAACCAGACCAATGGTTTCAAGCGGCCCAATGTTCTCGACGTCAAATTGGGGACCCGTCTGTATGCAGACGACGCGCCCAAGCAAAAACAGGAGCGATTTCAGCAGATTAGCAAAGAAACGACACACCACAATCTTGGTTTCCGCATCGCCGGCATGCGTGTTTTCCGCGGGTCTCAAGATGCTTCCGAATTGGATGCTAGGGAGTACAAGAACTACGACAAAGACTATGGGCGATTCACCGTCAACGATGACAATGTGGTCAATGAATTGAGGCGATTCATCTTCAACGAAGCTGCGGGTATTGACGAGGACTTGGGCAAGGCCGTCTGTGCGACTTTTGCTAGAGAACTCGGTACAATAATCGATGTCATGTCTGATCACAATATCCGCATGTACTCATCGTCACTTCTGTTCGTGTATGAAGGCGATGGCGAAGCGCTTAAAGACGCCATCCGACTCAACACGGAATACGCAAAACGCTCGACCGGTCCTCCAGCTACCAAGCGAATTGATAGTGGCATTGGCTTGGACGACGAGGATCAGGCTCTGGAGCAGTTGCCGCCACCAGTACTTAAGCTCAAGCTCATCGATTTCGCCCACGCGACATGGACGCCTGGATCAGGCCCAGACGAAAATACTATCAAGGGAGTGAGCAGCTTGGAGGGGTTCTTTAAAGAAATGGCAGAATGAGCCGATGTTGCTCTTCCCATTTATGACGCTTTGATTTTTAATGCCAGAGCGATGAACGTATACGCAAAACAGAACTAAAGAGCTCAAGGCCTATCACCGCGAGTTATGAATATCAGCAGGGGCAAACCATCAGCAGTTTAGGGCTCGAGTTATTCAAGGGAGCTTTGCCAATGGAGAAAAGCATACTTGTATCATTACACAGTAGAGTGTATTAGAAACAACGGGACATGGAGGCATGGCGAGATCTAGGTCTACTGCGTGAAGTAGCGTATGGAGTTTATTTGGTGTTGGAAGTGTGTTTGGTAAATGGGTATAGTATAAATCAGCTTATGGCGGAGCGCATCACTGGAGATTTAGATGCTCCAAGGACCAAAAAAAAAAGAATTCTGCACACTACTTTGAGTAACTTTAGTAATGTGACGAAATAACTCTAATAGTACTGCCCGCGCCGGAAATCGAACGTTCACATGGAAGGACTCGTGAAAGTATTGGTGTCCTGACTGCGCCCCACATCCAAATCGACGCCACCTCGCCCAAAACTGCAAGCTTCCAGACAAATGTCCGTAAACATTGGCACTTTTTGCTTCTCGCGTCACCAGGTGCTTCTTGGTCTCGTCCATGTAGCCCCGTCATGTCAATTCCAGGCTTGGGCCAGATCCCGGTGCAGGTAGTATCTCACCACGCCGCAAATCACTTAGAATTGCCATAAGCCTTCCGCGCGACACATGACTGACAAGCCAGCTTCCTTAGACCGTTCACTCGTCGACCCGCATCATCGTCCTCAAACCATCCTGGGAATGGCGTTTCGAAGTACCTGCAGGCCGCAAAATCACTGTCAAAGCCCTCTCTGGCACCGCTGAAAAAGATGGCGTTGAGCTCGCTCTTCGGAATGCCTACTCCTTCAGTGCAATAAAATCCAAGATTCTGACATGGCACGGATGCGAGCTCGAAGTCGATGGACGGACTGACGACGAGTTCGTAGCGGAATATGCTTCGCCCGCGGCGAACCCCGCGAATGCACATGTGAATCTCCACGCCAGACTGAATGAGATGCGGACTGCGGCTGTGTACGAGCGGAGAGAAGGCCCGAGGGTGCTGATTGCTGGCCCGCCGACGACGGGGAAAACTACGCTCGTGAGGACGCTCGCGAGCTATGCGACGCGGCAAGGCTTCGAGCCAATTGTCGTGAATGCCGACCCTAAGGAAGGCATGCTGAGTCTGCCAGGGACGCTGAGCGCCAGCGTCTTCGCGACGGTGATGGACCCTGAGGCTGTTGATGGATGGGGTACCACGCCGACGAGCGGGCCGAGCACTGTTCCTGTCAAATTGCCGCTGGTGTACTACTACGGGAGAAATTTACCGGATGACGACCCCGAATTCTATAGAGAGTTGACGAGCAAGATTGCCGGCACTGTGAGTGGGCGGCTAAGTGAGGACGATGCTGTCCGAAGCTCCGGTGTGATTGTGGACTCGATGGGCGTCAGTGAGAAGAGTAAAATTGGAGAAGACTTGCTCGCTCATATTGTCGACGAGTTATCTAGTAAGTCGTCGCTTCGTCCGACTTGGACGCCATGGCCTGGGGAAACTAACGGCGCCAGTCAACATCATCGTGGTCCTGGGCTCCAACAGAATGACGGCCGAGCTCTCGAAACGCTTTTCTACCGAGAGGACTTCCCTCGGCGAACCGATCCAAATCGTTGGGCTCGATCGCTCAGAAGGCGTGGTTGAGCGGGATGAAGGGTTTTTGGAGTATTCGAGAGAACAGGCTATTAAGGAGTATTTCTTCGGAGACGCCAGGAGAGCGTTGAGTCCGCAGATTCAACAGACTGACTTTGATGCGCTCGTTATTTATAAAGCTTCTGACTGTGAGTTTCTCCCTTGTATCCTTTATGCTATGTTGCATCATGGCTTTGGGTTTGACTTTCACAGTCTGCGTTTGTGGAATCACTAGGCCAAAGGCGACTCAAGTGCCATGAACACTCCACAGCGAGAAGGGAGCACATGTTTACGATTGCTAACTGTTCACAGACTCGGCGTACGAAAAAGCAACACTGTCCCGCGATGAACCTTCATCCGTCATGCAGCACTGGACCCTTGCCGTCATGCACGCTTCGCCCAAGGACCCCCCCGAGGTGGTAAGGGCTGCGGCGGTGATGGGATTTGTCTATGTTTCTGATGTCGACGAGGACAGAAGAAAGATTAAGTTGTTGGCGCCGGTGGGTGGTAGGCTGGGCGATAGGCCGTTGATTTTGGGGAGTTGGCCGGAGCCGTATATCAATCTTTTGGGATAACCAGCTGGTTCGTTATGTTGGAGTTTGGGACGCAAGTGCGGTTGTCATTGAATTTTGCAGGAGGCAGGCCGCCCTGACATGGGACCAGCGTAGCATGCTAAAAACAGTGCTAGGATAACACATACCTTGGCGATGAATAGATATGCATGTATCTTGCCAGTTCAGAGGACGCACATGCCCAACATATATCATAAACGCACCATATGAAACAAGATCTGATTTTTAGATCTTAAAGCCATCGTTTGAACCTAATAGGTTGCCAGTCTAGCACAAACCAGCCTACATTTGCATGGGCAGCCATATGGCATCATCGCACACAAGGTTTGTCTTGAGGGTTTGTTGTGTGTTCTCATCACTTGACTCGGATAAGACGCGATGCGGGCGCATTTCTCGGCACCCAATCTGATTGGCTACCAACTCGCATGAGATGCCGTGTCACGCAAGCAACTACGGATTAAGCAGGTGTCCATGACAGTTTATTAGGACGACATGGTAAATTATTCATGATCTCTTAAATCCTAAATGACGTGGTTCCTTTCCCATTTGTTGTGCCTGCAGATGCGGCTCTGGACGGTGGGACCTGGCCAAGTCCTCCAGGCTGCTTGACTCAGCGTGAGTCTGGTCCGGTACAATTGGCAACAGAGATCGAAGGGCTGGGTTATGCTTAAAATGCTAGTGCGAACGTGGTGTTTGGCGGGGGGGTCAATGAGGGGCAATGCCGCGGGGGAATCAGATTCATCTAACGAGTAACGGTGGTCCTGTGAGGCAAAGCCGCGCAACCACAGTTGGCAACTTCAAGCTTTAGTGGCCATGCCCAGGGCTTGGCCTACGCTTGGATGTGGAGGGCTATTCAACCGCGGCGGATGGAGGCAATGCTCCGGCCGCTGAGCGTTGGCGCAATATGAGAATACGTAAGGATTACGATTGTCTGGACTCTGGACTCTGGACGCCACAAGTGCCAAGACACGCTGGGCCAAGCGCTGGGTGGACGAGGCGAGGGGCACACGACAAACCGGCTAGTACTGCATACAATTCGGTTGGCCGATCTTGGCAGAGTCGATTGGGCCACGCGGAGGACGGGGAGAAAGGCGTCAACTGGGTCATGGGACCATGTTGTTTGAGAGGTGCTTGCTCCGTAGAGTGGCACTTCGATTCCAGGTGAGCAGATTGTGTCCAAGCTTGCCAGACAGGCTCCCAAAGACGTTCACCTCGACAGTGTGTGTCACACGGTCAAGACCTGCACAAAGGTATCGGACATCAAAGGTTATTGACACAACAACAAACGAAGGTATCACGAGAGCCCAGAGTCGAACCTTAGCGAGGGCTGCCTCAGGCCTCTTGGAAATCCAAGGGCCTATGATACCTCAAGGTCGAATATTAAATTGATATTTCAACACATGTTCCAGGCCCAGCTACCCTGCCTGCCCTTGTCACAGTGTGTCAGGATAATGACGCTGAAGAACTTGGAAACAGTGCCGAGGACCGCCAGCACCGCCACGGAAGAAACATGTCGCTGATTGGCGAAATTGGAGGCACCAGAAGTTTGATCTACATGCGGGTGTGTCGTGGACTCGTGGGACACTGCAGGGACAACTGTTGTGTAATCCTTCAGATCGTGCCGTTCAATCGCGGATTAGAGACATGCTGGAGTGGTTCGATACCATATCTCGAGACGGAATTCGACATCTATCTGGTATAGATGATGCAGTTCAGAGACGGTACGCCGCATATTTCGTCTGGTCGAAGACGAAGTAACCTCTTCTCTCAGGCTGACACAGCCACCTTCGAGCAAGGTTGTCGGTGGCCACCCTTTACAAACCAGCACCGCCATCACACCAAACCTAATCTCGACAATCCTTGTGCCAAATGCTATCGTACGAAACGGTTTTCACAAGCTGTAGGACGAGACAAATGGCAAGCCGGGTCGAGTTTAGGCCTTGAGCTTCAACAGTAGTGGTGGAGACCATGGCACTTTCTACTAACGGAAGGCGCCAGTGGGCTTGTTCTTTCCCCTCCCGCAACAATCTCATTTGCTCCTTCTCTCCGCCGTTATCATCACCACCACTGCCGGTCATGCTTAAGACAAGCAAGCCACTTCCTGGCACATCTGGGCCATTTGCCCAGCTTCAAGCCCCCAGATTGCTCATGCTCGTGACCAGGGTGGATTCATCCCCTGCTGCCAAGTGTCGTGTCTTTCGTTCGCTGTCGTTTTGGTTTCTTCTTCTTTTTCTCCTTCTTTTCTTCCATCGCCATCCTTGGGCCTTCATTATTTTAGTTCCTAGTTATATCCATCACTCATCCGGTTCGCCTCTGTGTGGAAGTCGACTTCAGCGCCAGCATCCCACTGACAGTAAACTCTTTGTCCTCTTCGACTTTTCGACCTCACAGGCTCTTTTACTTTCCCCCCTCATCCCAGCATCTGTTGTTTGCTAAGTCTGCTCAGAGCAGCTTGATATACACGTTCGATGGGAGAACCTCTTGTTATCAGTACGAATGGTGCAGAACACGCCAACTCCTCTTCGGACTCGGAGGCCCTTGCCGGTCCCGACGACCAGCCACCTATAGCGGAGCCCCCTGATATCCCCTATACAAGTGAAAAGCCAAATTGCCATCATACGCATTCTGCCCAGCACGTCGCTGAACTGCTCGCTACCGACCAAGACCATGGACTGAGCGACGAAGAGGCGGCCGCCCGGCTAGCCCGGGACGGTCCCAATGCTATCAAAGGAGCCAAGGGTCTCTCCATTGGAGAAATCTTTTTGCAGCAAGTCGCCAATGCTCTAACTGTTGTCCTCATTGCTGTCGCCGCAATATCCTACATTATCGGCGACTATGTCGAGGGCAGCGTTGTAGTTGCTGTAATTGTGCTCAATATTGTAGTTGGGTAAGAATGACTTGTCACTACTTTGGCCTTCTGTCTAGTGACACAGCGCTGGCGGATCAAAGTTTGGCTCTTCTCTTTCTCACTGACACGGCCCAGGTTGATTCAAGACTACCGTGCGGAGCAGACCATCCAGTCTCTCTACGCGCTGTCTACACCCAAATGCAAGGTTATCCGGGATGGCCACAGCGACACCGTTAAAGCCGAAACACTTGTCAAAGGCGACTTGGTCTCTCTTGCAACTGGTGATGTAGTGCCCGCAGATTTGCGCCTGGTTCAGGGCATCAATTTGTCAACCGACGAGGCACACCTGACTGGCGAGTCTATAGCTATTAGCAAAAAGCCCGAAGCGGTCTTTACTGATCCTGACATGCCTGTTGGTGACCGCATCAATTTGGCCTTCAGTGGTAGCTCCGTCACACGTGGTCGTGCCACCGGCATTGTCATATCGACCGGAATGGACACAGAAGTTGGCCAGATCGCCGAGCTCTTGCGCAAGAAAAAGAAGGAGGCCAAGGGCAGTAATGCTGTGGCCAAGGCCCTTTACTCGTTCTACCAAACTGTTCGTAGTATCTTAGGTCTTGAGGGAACTCCCTTGCAAGTGACTCTTAGCAAGTTTGCCCTGCTTCTTTTCGGTTTAGCCATTCTCCTTGCCGTCGTTGTCTTCTCCGTCAATCTATGGGAAATTGACGATGATGTCCTTCTCTATGGTATCTGCGTCGGTGTTGCGGTCATCCCTGAATCTCTTCTCGCTGTGCTGACGGTGACAATGGCTGTTGCTACAAAAGCAATGGTCAAAGGTCATGTCATTGTGCGCCAAATGCCATCCCTCGAGGCAGTAGGTGGCGTAACCAATATTTGCTCCGACAAGACGGGGACGCTTACCCAAGGCCGCATGATTGCCCGTAAGGTGTGGCTTCGTGATGGCCTCACTGGTACGGTTGATGGCACATCCGATCCTTACGACCCAAGCAGTGGGACCGTGTCGTGGTCTGGTTCTCTCGTCGGAACTTGCATCAACCCCTTCCTCAATACTCTTGTTCTGTGCAATAATGCCACCGTCTCAGATGGGAAAAAGGAGCCAGAAACCGATTCCAGCAGCGTTACGACGGCCTTGGAGCCAGCAGACTGGAAAGCTATGGGCGAGCCCACAGAAATAGCGCTAAAGGTGTTTGCCATGCGATTTGGAAAGACGACTGGGAGCGATCTCCTGACAGCAGAGCACCCGTTCGACTCCTCGTGCAAACTCATGAGTGTTGTTTACGGTAATGGCTTGGAACGGCAACGCCACGTGTACACCAAGGGCGCGTTCGAAGTTCTTCTTCCAATTTTAGCCGAGGATGATGGAATGAAAAAGGCCATTCGTGCCAAGGCTGAAGAATTTGCTGGAGAAGGTCTTCGAGTGCTGTGTATCGCGGATAAGCTCATGGAAGGAGGGGCTGAGGATTTCCAAGATCGTGCCAAGGTCGAGTGCGATTTACGTTTCCTCGGACTCGCTGGACTTTATGATCCGCCTAGGTCTGAAACCGCTGGAGCTGTTAAACAATGTCGCGAAGCTGGAGTCACTGTTCACATGGTCACGGGTGACCATATCAAGACCGCTACCACCATCGCCTACGAAGTCGGCATCCTGCCCAAAGACATGCCACTGGGCCCAAACACAGTCATGTCTGCTGCTGAACTTGGCAGCATGACTGATGAGCAAATCGACGAACTCGACTCCCTTCCTCTGGTAATTGCTAGGTGCAGTCCCTTGACCAAGGTCAGAGTGATTCAGGCTCTTCATCGTCGAAGAGCATTCTGCATTATGACTGGGGATGGTGTCAATGATTCGCCGGCTTTAAAGCAGGCAGACGTTGGCATTGCTATGGGTGATCGTGGAAGTGACGTTGCCAAGGAGGCCTCTGATATGGTTCTCACGGACGATAACTTTGCTTCTATCGTTACTGGGATCAAGGAAGGTCGAAGACTGTCTGATAATATTCAAAAGGTATGCAAAGCTTAGCACCACTTGTCGAATCGTTCCGCTAACACACATGATGTCTAGTTCTTGCTGCATCTGCTTACGTCCAATCTGGCTCAAGTTATTTTGCTTTTGATAGGCTTGGCGTTTAAAGAC